TTATTTGCAGCAAAACACATTTTAGACGGTATTACGTACGAGCAGGCAATTATATGTTGACAGTTCAGTATTTCCTGTTCACGTGGTGGGTTCTTGGCCTATGAAAAAGAAGAACGAAATGATTGAATGGTAATATTTGTTTTGAACAACATTTTAGACCGTACATCATTGTTAAAAATGGCAGACCTAGGGTGGTGGACAGACACATTCAAGAACTTGTGCAAGGGTTTAGGTGAGTTTACGCCGGTCTGTTCATACACTGTTTTATATCATTTACGTGTAGCCGATTTAAAAATGCCAAGCCTTGACTTGAATAGAGAGGCGTAGAAAACATAAACCAAAAACCTGCCCTTACCCTGAATGCCCGAATGATAACAGTAACGATATAGATTTTGGTAACGAATGAAATACAGTTTTGAGAAACATATAATTTTCTTTTATTCTTTGTCACTGTGCTTTGTTCGTGGAGAATTTCATTATGTTTCATAATAAACTTGTGTTTTGATTTCTTCACCGAGAAGAATGTATCGACATTTAGGTCTGAGAATTTCGACCTCCATCTTTGAATTTCAATGCGAATTTTCTACCGTATTTGCTTCTCTTTTTTACCAGGAGCTTTGAAGACTTCTTACATGAAGGCCTGGTTGAGTACTTAGATGTCAACGAAGAAAATGACTGTTCAATCGCTCTTTATGAAAAAGAAATCACTGTTGTGATTTTCTGTGGTTTAACTATTAATTATTAATGCGTTTGAGAAGGACAGATGTACCAAATTTACTTCATAATTCGATACTTGACTTGTTATTTCCTCGCACAACATTGATTTTTTACCAGTCTGTATGACAAGTGTGTCAGTACAATTTGTGATGTTTTTGCTTCCCAATTGATTATTGCCTGACAATGATAGTTTACCTTTCAGGGAGACCACGCATCTAGAGATTGAGCCATTCACTCTGCTTGGTGTATGTGCTGGTCTTATACCATACCCTCATCACAATCAGTCGCCCAGGAACACATACCAGTGTGCTATGGGAAAACAGGCCATGGGTAGGTACATGTACTCACTGTTTCTATATTCATTAGTCTGTAGATTGATGGACAATTTATAACTGCAAATAACTGCGTTATAGCCTTATAGGTCAATCTTAGTCTGCATATTTTGCTCCTTAATAACACCTCAACTACAACCTATAAATAGACAGGCAGACAGACAAGTTGACAGACAGACAGACAGACGGACGGACAGACAGACAGATAGACGGACAGACAGACGGACAGAGACACAGACAGACGGGTTGACAGTCAGACAGACGACACAGACAGACAGTTCAACAGTCAGACACATGGGTAGATAGAGACACAGACTGATGGGCCGACAGACAGACAGACAGGCAGTCGGCAGACAGACAGACTGACGGACGGACCTAGAGACAAAGATAGAAATACAGTTGGGGGATGGATGGATAGATTAATTGATGGACAGACAGATTGGTGGTAATCTGGGCAGACGGGTGAATAGACAGACGAAACACGGAACACTATGATGGAAATTGTGACAGTTCACTCCAAATTGTCCAGAAAGCAAGGACGATAGTGACTTCACAATTCCTGCCATGTAATTTTCTTATAGAGCCCAGGACGATATGGTCTGTTAAATACATGTCCATGTAGTCTGATTAGTCACTTCACTAGTTGATGCTGTTTATTACTCATATTACAGGTTCCATTGGCTACAACCAACGCAATAGGTAGGGTCTGCCAGAGTTTTAAACTTACAAATTCAACTTC